CCTAGGATGGAGGTCTATTTCAATGCAATTTTTCAATTTTTCTGTCAAGTTCTCCAAGTTTTGTTTTAATACATTATCTGCATCAAGCTCAAATTTCTGCAACTTTTGTTATATATTCATAATATCTTATAATGGAAAACTACAACCCAAGATGTAACAAATAACCTTTGACATATACTTAGGATGGCTTGGTAGGACCAAGACTACTTGAAGCTGTCACTTATTAGATTAGACTCACACATTCTTTACTGAGGGAGAAGGAAGGCAGTAAAGCCCTGAAAAGAGGTAGGTACAAAGAACTGCCAATTACACCTCTCCTAATAACAGGGGAGAGACTCATATCATATGCTGACTCAAGATTGTGTGAAAAGGAAAAACAAATCGAAAAAGGAAAAACAAAAACATGAGTTTGAGACAGGTTCCCAACTGAGCCATCACTGATGAGAACTTCGGAGTGCTTGATAACAATCACAAAATCGTGGGGAAAGCAGAGCTTTGGAATTGGAGAAATCTGCATTAACTCTGCTCTGTTAGCCCTGTTAGTTAACCTCTCTTGCTTAGATTAGTTCAGTGTCCTCCTAAATGGTTCTATTGGAACAGTTTCTATCCAATTCAATCCGACCTCATAATCACTACCTAAAACCCAACTCTGATCAAACAGCCCTCTGCTTAAAGTCTAAACTCAAAATCCTCCACAGGACTCTTATTTTCAGAATTTCAAAAGGCTCTTACCAATCTGTTCTAATTAATCTACCATTTAGCCTTATCTGCCCCACTGTTTCCCCTCCACATTCCAGCCGTGCTTCCATCCATGGACTTGCACAGCTCCAAGTCTCTGCTGCTCCCTTTCCCAAAATGCCCATCTCGCCCTCTCTCACTGTCTTAGTCCATTTGCTCCACTATCACACCCACTACTGGATAACTTATAAACAACTGAAATTTATTTCTCAAAGTTCCAGAAGTCGAAAATCAAAGTGCCTACAGGGTCAACATCTGGTGGGGACTGCCCTCTGTCTTAAGTTGACACCCTGCTGTGGCACCCTCACATGGCAGAAGAGCAAACAAGGGACTCCATAGCTCATGTGAACATTGTTATAATGTCATTCATGAGGGTAAAGCCCTAATGATCCAATCACTTCTAAAACCCTACGTCCTATCACTGCCTCCTTGGAAATTAAGTTCCAACATATGCCTTTTGGACACACACATAATTCAAACTATGGCCTTCATCCAGTAAGCTATTCATTCTTTAAGGCCTAATAAAATGCTTTTAACAACAAGAAGTCTCTCCTACAGCCCTTAGCAGTTAGTTTCCCCTCCTTTGTGATCCAAAGATATTTAATTTAAATGTGTCCATGTACCTGCCCTGATCTCCAACCTCATAGCCTCATCTCTTCCTCGCACTGATACCCACACAACTCAAATGGTGAGTATTTCTAAGGATCTTTGGATTTCCACTGTTTAAATGGATCAAGTGTCCAGCAAATGTTTGCCCAATAAAAATATGAATGAATGAGTAAATGAATGAACAAATACCTTGATGGAAATCTAAATAGGGTCTGGGATGCAGGAAGTTTGATGGATGAGACCTATGACAATCACAGGAAAAGGAAGGAGATGGAAGGATAGATGTGATTTCATAAAGTGATAAAATATGTACTCTATATATTTGTTACTTAAGGGCCCCAAATGGCTATGAATAATAAATACAGACAATATTTATGGGTGCAAAGGTAAGTGCATTATATACCCTGGAGGATGGAAATGGTCTTTCTAAGCCATTACTATTTTGATAGGTCAATATGTTTTTTGGCACACACAATAAGGTAGAAACTGTGAGCTATGTATCTGTCAAACAGTAACTAAGTACAGTTTAACCTAGTGAGTGGTATCAACTTCTGTCCCTCCATAATCCATTTGTCTAAATCCTACTTAGTTGGAGGATTATAGCTTTCACATATCTAAATAGCTGTTTCCAGAGTTTGGGTACATGGTTCACACATAAACAAAGCTGTACAACTCAGCTACCTTTCACAAAATAAAATTAAAATGTTACTTGGCATGTTTTCATGGAAAGAAAAAGATACTGTTGAAGGACATGGGAATCATGTCAAACAAGCCAATTTAAAAGGGTCTAAAGGAAGATTTTTTTTTTCCTGAGTCCCTAAAAAGGTACAGAATTCTGAAGTAAACATCCAAAGGAGAAAAGAATCCCTACAAACTGACTTGTCTTGTCATCACAAGGGAAAGAGAGGGCTCAGAGTCATAGGGAACACTAAGGGACTATAGGCCAGGTCTTCAAATACCAACATGAAAAAGGATGTTAGAACATTAATTTTTGAAAAGTAAAAGTGGTTGAAAGATCTAAATGGATCACAAAGACTCAAGACGCAAATTAAGAATGGCACCACCATGAGATCTTAGCCAGTAAGAACAGAAATGGGACTTTAACATCTAGAAGAGTCTAGCCAGAATTTCTTTATGCAATGTTGGCCTTTGGAGTAAAACACAGACACTCCTTTGGGTTTTAAGAAGCCTTGCTGCCATGACTTAACACTTGGTAGACACCAGTTAACAATGACAGAAAAACTGACATTAGTAACCACTGGTTATTAAAGCCTAACAATCAAAGTCAGAGGATTTGGAACTTCCCTCTCCTAGTCTGTTGAAAAGGAAGACTTTTTTATGGTAAGATCTAAATTAACAATAGTATAGAAAAAGTATATTTCTATAATGGTAATACAAGTTATGATCTATGACACTCAAACAACTTGGCCTCTAAATCTTCTGACATGATCACCTACTTGTTCCTAGCAGAAGAAAGAAATCTACATGACTATAAGCTACTGACTGCTAATACATCACAGATGCCATTATTATATTTGAACATATCACTGATGGAACCCAAAGTGGGAACTAAATTCTACATTTGTTAATCTCATTAGCTAAAGGGTAAGACCAACTTCTAGCATTATTTAACTTTGAATTTATCTGAAATACAGAAATCTCATCTACAGATTTTTCTTTTTTTAAATAATTTTTATTTATTATTTTAAATTTATGAGTGTATGGCTTGCAGGTATGTAAATGCACCCTTGTCCTGCAATCCCTGCGGAGGTCAGAAGAGGGTGTTGGATTCCCCTGGAACTACAGTTATAGACAGTTGTTAGTTGCTGTGTGGGTATTGGGAATTAAACCCAGATCCTCTAGAAGAGCAGTTAGTGCTCTTAACCACTGAGTCATCTCTCAAAACCCTACGTATTTTTTTAATAAGCAAAATCTCTACCTCTACAAATAATATCAAATAAAACATGACTTTCCAAGCAACACTTGTAAGTAACAATTCCATGGGAAAATGTTATATTCAGTAGTTCTGGGCTTTTATATCTTTTTTGCTCCTTTAAGTGCCCTTCTTAGAAATGAATATTACCTATTTCTTTCCTTCTCCCTACCCCCCAGGACAAAGTACTTGTTTTAGTTTTATTTTTTTCTTTTGTGTAAAACACACACACATACACACACACACACACACACATACACACACACACACACACACACACACACACAAACTTGTGTGTATCCACTATTTTTAAACATTTTTATTAGTGTATGTTCACTATATAAAGCAATGGGCTTCATAATGACACTTTTATCAAGTATATCATGTTGACTATAACCTATTTTTATATGACTTTTACTTTATGATATCAATTTCTGGTCTTCTTTCTCTTGGGGAAAAAAGCAAAAACAGGAATTTATATACATTAATTTCATTGTTTTGTGGCTTTACTTATTCAAATAAGAAACCCACTGTATGAACTATTACTAGAATGTTCATTAGCAAATTAAGTTGTAAAGTGTATCTTATTGTTCATAAGTTAATGTAGTAATAATACATGTAATAGTCCTTAAGCCTGAACAATAAGCATATTGCCTAGGGTTGTAGGCAAGTTTCAGACTCCCTTTTACCACTCTGTGACCTGATCTTGAACAAAATTTTACTTTTCAGTCCTTAAATTTTCCTAACAGTGAAATAACAGATTAACTGCACGTGACTGGGCCCATGGATGCCCTGCCATGTAAGAGGGAGGAGCTCATGGGGCCCCACCACCCCTGAGGATTTATATACAATTAATGGTTGATGGGGAAAGACGGTGCACTCTGGTAAGGTGCCAAAGCTCCTATAAGCCACCCTAATGGACCTCACTGGGTTACAAAAAGCAAAGACATGAAAATGGAAGGGGAGCTATCTAGGAAGAGGAAGGGAGGAAGGGAACCAACAGGAGTGGGAGGGGACAGAGCAGTAACGGGAGGTGGGGATGAACATGATCAAAACACATTTTGTACATGTGTGACAAGGTCATAGAGAAACCCAATATTACATATAATTAATATAAGCTAATAAAACAATACAAAATAAATAGGACCTACCTCATAGAGATGCTGCGAGTTAAGCACGTTAATTTAGCTGGCTTGCTAAAGTAGATAGATTAAAATGCTTAAACAGGGTCTAGAATATAACAAACTCCACATACATGCTTGCTTTTGCTATTGATATCTATAAAATAAGGCCTACAAAAAATACTGTACACATTAAATTTTATCAGAAAAAATTTTAATATATTTTTCCTGCCTCAAAAATCTCATATCTCTACGGCTTAGTTTTTCCCAAAATCCTACACCTGTAGCCCAGAAGAAAAATATTTGCTAAGGTGAAAGGTCATACAAATGGAAATTATTTTACTTTCTTTCCTAATTTTCCTAATTTTCTTTCCTAAACATAAGTATGCTAACTTTTAGGGTATGCTGGAATTCACAACATTTATCAAATAATGAAATCAAATTGTAAATTAGTCTTAAACTATAATTCTCAAAAATTCTCAGTTCTTTCTCTATTTTGTCTTCAGTTTACTCTGTACCCAAAAGTTAAAGGGAGAGAGGAGGAAAATGGCCCCAAACTCTTCATGTAATGGAAACTGACAGGAAAAAGCCAACACTACCTTTATCACTTCCGTAATAGTAGAACACTGTTTTACTGAGAGCACACCACCGCTTCTGCCACTCAAACCCCAGAAAGCTGTGATCTGCAACAACGGGAGAAGAGCATTTTAGATTCTACACAGAAATTAGATAAAGCCAGTGCCTTGCTACACAGGGAAAAAAATAGCTAATGTAATTTCTCAAGTTTCTTTTAGCTCTGACATCATTTTCCATTCCAAAGGACAAACAGACAAAGAGCAACCACAGAACAACAATGAGAAAGTCCAGGAGAGATGGGGCTGTCATACTTAGGGGATCAACTGCTTGGCCACCAAACTCCCCTGTGGGGACAGTCCCAAAAAAGCACCTGCTATACATCCTAGATATAGTATTGATACATCTGGGTCTCCTTTTCTCAAATCTGTGAAAAAAAGGAAAGGGGAGGAGCTGACAGATTATTTCTACAATCAATGTCTTTCCACTTTCAAACTCAGTTAAGAAAGGAAAGCACAAATGGACCGAAAGTAGCAGTCTGCAGGGAGGAAGTCCACTCTCCAACACCCTGACACCCCTCCACATTTCATTTTATTTGGGTGTTGAAAGAGTAGAGCCATCTGGTCAAATCCCAATTATCATGGCCAGTAGAGAGGAACACTAGACGACGCCAGGCTGCTCCAAACCATAGAAGGCCTGGTGTGCACTAGTCAGGTGCAGGAAGCTCAGCACAGGAGGGAATGGTGAGACCTCCCAACCTTGAGAACAGTCATGGCCTGAAGATGTGGGACACTGCTCCTGAACTATTTATAACTAGCCCAGGCTGAACCAAAAACTTGACCTGATGTTTTGTTAGTAAAAATTACATAAAACCAAAGTGATATTTCACAGCATGGATAAAGTTGTCCACATTTTCTTACATCCTAAACTCTTCCATTACCTAAAGAGAGTACTGGTTCCATGAGTACACTGTGAAAACATTTTATCTAAGGAGGAAAACATTTTCCACTTTTTCCTAAGATTTACAGCTTACCTTTTCTGCGTTTTTCAAGGTAACCAGCCTTTAGAACAAAAGGAAGGTCCTGTGCTGCAATTGGAGGAAACTGGTTTCCTGTGGGAAGTAGGAGAGAAAGAGAAAGGAGTAATCCACTTTAGAAAATCCATCTCACCTCATTGGACTCAGTGTACTTTTAATTACTGAAATTGCTTGAATCAGATATATTATTTCAATTCTATCCCATGGACTCTCTCCTCTTGAAAATCTTGAGTAAAAAAATTGCTCTGTGCGCCTTTGTACTAACAAAGTAATATGCTGCTATTGAATTATCTCAAAAGGGTGAAACTTTCAATCTATATTTTATAAGGACAGAAACTATAACAAATAAGCACAATGAATCCCAGCAGAGGTTAGGACTCAAGTGAACCATACAAGCTTCTTCATACTGAGTCTTCAAGAATTTCAAAGCCCATTCACTCTTTCCTGCGTATACTTATTCCTGCCAATGAAGGGATTTCCCCAAAAGTCAAATGCTGAAATTTTTTGAGACTATAGCAAATATTCTCACTCTGGTTATATTCATAGAGAAACCTCACATTCAAGTGGATGAGTCTGCTTTAGGTTTTATAGGGTATTTAAGAGTCTAAGACTGTATCACGTGTCACTCTGATAGAATAGCATAAACAAATAATGGATTCTACAAAAAAAATTAAAAATTAAGCTAGAAGTTAAGTCAATTAGAAATTCAGGGTCACGAGTGATAGGTCACTCAATAATTTCACAAGCATTCTCTATTTTTGTAAATTTCATTTGAAATAAAATATTTATCCCTAGTGTTTTACTAGAATGATAACAGCAGCCAATCTGGTGACCGTCCACAGAATACGTCCAACAGGAAGAGTCTCAACATAGCTCATGGCAGAAAAGACGTCTGATAGCAAGTATACAATACACAAATTCTTCACAGAATTTTACCAGTGTTTCTAATATTACAGGGATTATAATGGTATCATTAAAAATCATACATACTTTTCCTTGAGAGTTAAAAATTAAAGTACTATTTTTAGGTTCCTGGTAGATCAAGTTCACTCAGTAAATGCAAAATAGCATATGGTTAAAATGCACTTAAAATAGAGCACTGATTTTGTAAATACATACTGAATTTCTGGGAAAGCTAGCATAAGTAGTTGAATAGCTGCTGCTCAATAAATAAGCTAAATAAGTAAGCTCAAATAAACTCTTATAAATTGCCTTAGTCATGGTGTTTTTTCATAGCAACAGAAAAGTAACTAATAAAAACATGATCCATACAAAAGGTACAAATGGAGTTTGTATGCATTAAAAAATCACACAAAGGGGTCCAGCAAGATGGCTCAGTGGGTAAAGGCACTTGCCACCAAGCCTAAGACCTAAAGTCAATCTCCTTTTATGGTAGAAGGAAAACCAACTCCCACAAGTTGTCCTCTAACCTCCACAAGAGTGCCATGGCACAGCTGTGTGCTCATGCATGCATACACACACACACACACACACACACACACACACACACACATATACACGAATAAACAAATAAATGTTTTTTAAAATCATACAGAAATTTTACCTAAGTAGACAAGCTGGGCCAACCATTAAACTAACAAGGGCTATTGTGGTGTAACTGGGTCTCACTAAGGTGTAGTCCTCACAATCTTTTTATGTCTACTGGGCGAAATAAATTACTTAACACACAAAACAAATGCTCTCTGGAGCCAGACATGTATCTGGGGCAGGTCAAGGCGATTGCCACCAAGCCTGATTGGATGACTTGGGTTCAAGCTCCAGTCCCCGCAGGGCAGAAAGCAAGAACTGACTCCTGAAATTTGTCCTCTGATCTCCCTCACACACACAAATAAATAAACGTAATAAAACATTTTTAATTCTCTCTAAATTTTCAAGTGGAAAACTTAAATTATTCTGAAGTGAAACTCTTTGAATTTTAAAGGTACTTATCAGAAAGAATGGAGAAGAGGGGGAAAGAGGGAGAGAAAAAATGAAGAGGAGTGAAGCAAATTTTTTAAATATGTTACTTAACCTGAGTCTTTTAAGAACAATGTTGATTACTTTTCACTGATAAATCAAAAAAAATTACTTTCATAAGCAATACTTAACCTAAATTTTATCTCTTGTTTCTTTTATAAAATCTTTTCTTTCCCAGAGAGGGAACAAGCACATTTTTAGCTGAAATTTCACTTTTCTACATAATTTTTGCTATTTGTCCAATAGCTATGATTTGTTTAATAGTCATGCAAATTTCTTTACAAATAAAAGTATATCAATAATAATTTATTTAAATATATCTGAAGTCCTCACAAGAATTTTGTGATTTGTGTAGCACCACAAATATACAGTTACTACTTTCTGAATGAAAATTTGTTATAAGATATGAAAAGCAGTAATTTCTCTTTTAAACAAATGGAATCCTCACAATTATTTGATCCCCTTACCACTATCCTCACAGTAATGAGTGTTATGTTATCAATTAAGAAAATTCAGATCAGACCAAAAATTATGATTCTCCAAATGCAGATTCAATAATCACCAACAGAAGGAAGCTCAGGTTAGAACAAATCTACCTTCAGACAATAAAGAGCCATAATATTTTCCATAAACCAGAATTAACATCTTCTCACTGTGAGATACTATGCAAAAACAGCCAGTGAACTCACAGATATGTTATCAGACCTGTTCCACTATCAAAACTCATACCCTTTTCTTTTTTAATATTTTCATTATTATTTTTAGTTTTTATGTGTATGAGTGTATTGCCTGCATGGATGTAAGTGCACCCATGTCATGCAATGCCTGAGGAGGTCAGAAGAGGCTGTCAGTGTTAGGGTCCGAGAGTCAGGAATAATTCCCACAGACACGATGGAAAAATGCATAAAAATTTTATTCAGAAATTTAAAGTATAAAGTAACCAAATTAGCGGCTAGCCAGGCACGGACTCCACAAGCCAAAGATGGCGTCCAGACCGGAACAATAGCAGGCAGGGGCTTTCATTGAAGAACTTCCGCACAAACCCGCGTGCGTCAAGCATCTTTTAGAATAATTGGATGTCCCCATATCCTGAGTATGGGGTAAGTTTTGATTGGTAGGGGCTCTCTTCAGGGCATTGGAATGTACAGACTGATATCTTTAGGGCCAGAAGTTTTTGTTCATACCTTATAAGGCTTTTATATGTTTAGGGCTTGCTTAATCTATAGCTTCCAGGTGAGGGGGTGGGCAACTGGAAAAATTTACAATATGCCTGAGCTTGTCCGGGCTCATCTGAAGAAGCTAGCCAAATGGAGTCAGTGCATTCTGGCTCTTCAGTCAGATCCCCTGGAACTGGAGTTAGAATGGCTGTTAGCTGCTATGTGGTTACTAAGAATCAATCCCAGGTCCTCTGCATGAGCAGCCAGTGCTCTTAACTGCTGAGTCATCTCTCCAGCCTTGTGCACTTTTCTTAAAAATAAATTTTGATCTGGACCTTAGTCCTTTATCACATAGTTGACCTGCAGTACATGCTAAATGTGTCATATTTATTAGCATATATTAATATAACTGTAACCGTTAATGACTGATAATATAAATAGAACACTGCCTTCAAAAAGTTTATAAGAAAAACAAGAAGTATGATTTAGTAACTGCACAAGTTAGGTATTATAATTATCTTTTAGCCAGTTTAAAAGATTTCTTTTTCTTAAGATAAAAGTAGTAAAAGAAGAAATCATATCTTAACTAAGAGGAAAGAAAATGTTAACCTGTGTTCTAGGCCACTCTGTTTACATGCAGAAAATAACTACAGGGGATTAGTTAAAAGGCCAATTCTCTGATTCTGAGGAAGTGAGACTAGTTTTGTTTGTGTACAGTGAGCACTTATTTACTCTTACATCTCTAAAACAACTCAAAATACTAAACATTAGAACTAGCACCCTGTTGCTGGGCATGGTGGCCCACACCAGGACTCCCAGCATAAAAACAAATTAACATCCTAGAAGGGTAACTAAGCAAGGAGTGAGTCTTCTTCCAAAGTGCAATTTGCAACTTTGATGCAAAACCCACAACTAAGACAATCAGGAGAAGCATGCATCAGAAGCATTTGCACAGAAGCCTGCTTTGGGCTCTATGCTACTTCTAATGGGAGATCCACTTTGCTCTGGTGTGAATAGGCATCAAGGGATATGAGTGATTCAAAGATATTTTAAAAATAGACATCTGGTTTCCATTTCCTTTTTTTTTTTTTCTGATGAGAAACTTGGCAGCCAATTTAAATACTAGACTTCAAAGAAATCTAAAACTTCATTTTCACTGTTTTATCATTATTAGGTCATAATGTTATGGACCTCATTGCTCACATTTTTATGGTTGTTCAATCTTGACTTCACGCAAAATTCCTTTGAAATGTCTGAGCCTCACCTTTGCTGGCTTCAATTTTCATTTTATCACTTTAGCATTTATAGGCTTCAACATGAATACTAAAACTTTTAACTAGTATAATTTTTCCCACTACTATTATACCACTAAAAATTCACTCCTGTTTATACTGGAAAGAAAGGAGATAAATAACAAAAGACTGCTCTTTGCTCACGTTGCCTTCCACGGAGTCAGATCTTAGTCCAGTCAAACATTCTGAGTCACCATACGATGTGACCTTTCCTTGAACACAAAAAGTTAACAATATACTCTCAAGGATCTAACCCCCCCCAAATCTGTAAATTAATCCAAACCTTTTTAAATTCTTCTGTTTCATCTTAGAGTTGGGAGGGGAGGACGCTGCTTCTTTTCAGCTCTTCTAAACTCACATGGTGAATTTGGGGAAAAGGCCAGTCATTTGGTAAATACATCCATTTTAAGAAAAAGCATCCAGTTGATGATTGCTTTCCATTTGAAGCATATCGTATTAGGTTCAACTTCCCAAGTCTCATTTCATGCTGGGAATATGCTCCTGGGGTTGGTTAGTCTAATTTTTCTTAAGTGGACCTCAGAATTCAAGGGCACTTGGGTGCCATTTCATAATACAATACAATCCCAATGCACCTTAACTGCATATAAGGGCAAAAAAAAAAAAAAAAAAAAAAAATGTTTTCTGGTTT